CTCTGAGTGTCCGTATGCGTTACTCTTTCCTCCTAGTTGTAGGACTTCCACTCAGCCAGCGTTCCTGTGGGTCTGGGTGATGTCCCTTACGTCTTTTAGTTTCACTTTTGAAATGGTTGTTCGAGGCGGCAAAATCCGGCGTTAACCTATGCCGCCATCTTGGTTCTCACTCAAGAAAATTTTAGACACATTCATGGATAATAATTTTATAAGAACTGTGAGGACCTAAGCTTTGGAGATTAATACTGGTACGGGTGGGTCTGGATTTGTTTTTATATCTAATACATACACGTTTGGCATGATTATATAAAGACTGAACCATCATGATAGTGTGCTCTGCTGTTGAAGAAAGTGTTTTTGAGACTGATATTTGAAGAGCAGCCTAAACACTAAGAAAAAAATTGTGTTTTCTCTTTCTATACTTTTAGGCATCTTCAGTAGGCAACAAGGCACCAGGGAAAGGAAATGTGATGAGCAATTTTTTTGGAAAAGCTGCTATGAGTAAGCATGTTCTTACCTTCTTTTTGAATACTAATATATGAATATTATTATAACAACTTATTACCTATCTGAGGTGAAAGCCTGTTTTACCCATCTGGGACCACTACCATGTAGCATTCCTGAATCTTAACATTAGTTTTCAGTATATTGATGAAATTAACCCAACTGGAATCGTGGGTTTTATGGGTGAGTTTGGTTCGGTTTAGATCCTTTGGAGCAGTGGCCACCAACCTTTCGGACCTCGCGGACCACCAGTGGTTGGCGACCACTGCTCCAAAGGTTTCCTTAAACCAGCGGTTGCCAACCTTTTGGACCTCATGGACCACCGGTTGGTGACCACTGCTTTGGAGTGTAGTGTACTATTCCTATTTTTACCTCCTGCCTTGAAAATAAAAAAAATATTTGTTTTATAGAGCTCTTGAAAATGGGAATTAAAACAAAAGGGAAGCTGCCTGGTTAAGCAGTACAGTGTTGAGGTTAATATCTTGGATGCTGGTATAGTTTGCCTGGTGTCACCATTACTATCCCTATCTCCCAAGGGGCTGCAAAAACAAAGCTTTAGCCTTTCTTTAGTTATTTTTGCAGATTAGACTTCAGTGTGAATTAGAAATGCTCAGATAGGGATCTAAACTGGCTATTTAAAAATATCTTCTTTATTAAAAATATTTCTAAAAATAGGATTTCTTTCATATGGAAGGAACCAATAGTCACATATTTTCATACTTCTTATATCAAGTAAACATCCCTTGAGGATATGTGGCAGAATATCAGGAAGAATGCAGGAGCTGCAGGATAATTATAGCATTTTTTTGGAGCATCAGTTTTATAAAGATTTTGTGGGGAAGCATTTTATTAAGGGTGTATGCAAGCAAAATTAGTCAGAATTCTGCTTTTCCGTGATGGTCCAATTGGTGGTTGGGAGAGGGGTTGGAGTGATAGTTTTTTATTTGTCATAAAAGCTATCCAAGAACATTTTTGTGTTCTGAAAGCATATGGAAAATTTGATACTTTCAGAATATTGGGAAGCACAATTGTATTCTTGGAAGTACAGTGAACAAAAGGCTCCCTACATCTATGAAGACACATCATGCTAATGTCACTAGCCGTTGCGGCTGGTACTGCTCTGCCCACTGTACCTAATTAGATTGTGTGGTTTCTTGGCAGCCTCAATAAGGTTCACATGTAATGTTGTTTGCTTGCTTTTTATGCGTTTTAACTTTAATAACCAGTGAATTTTAAAAATAGCTATTTTTATTTATTTTAGAGAGGAAGGGAGAGGGAAAGAAACATCAATGATGAGAGAGAATCATTGATTGGCTGCCTCCTGCACGCCCTCTTCTGGGGATTGAGCCTGAAACCCAGGCCTGTGCCCTGACCAGGAATTGAACCCTGGTTCATGGGTTGACGCTCATCCACTGAGCCACACAGGCTGGGTGAATTTTTAAATTAGTTTTAAAATATGTAAGATGTGAATATTTGCTAATTGTAAAAAAATAAAATAAAATCAGCTTCTTCTCCGAGAAAATACCAAATGGCAGATGTCGCTGCTGCTTTGGAAGGGCCTGAAAGTGGGGGAAATCAAACTATACAGAAGTATACATTTATTTATTCATGTGTGTTATTTAGCAAGTATTTACTAACACCTACTATGTGCTTGGCACCATTATGCATTGGTGCTACAATGGATCAAAACATATGCAAACAAGATTCCTGCCCTCGTGGCCCTTATATTCATTCTCATGGCAGAGACACAAATAAATATAAAAACAGTAAAATAGTTAATGATTGTAATTGTTAGGCAAAGAGTAAAGGGTGTTATGATGGAATGTAATAGAGGAGTAAAACCTAAATAATATAAAATAATTCAATATTTACCTAATAAAAAGAATGGCTTATAAAGTTGATTAACATTTTTTTCAAGGCTGAATGTTTACAGTTAAATTGATGAATTTTTTATTATATTTTACACATAACAAGGTCATTGCAGTGAAAATGAAGCTTGAGAGCTAGATGAAGAGAGGTGACTGTGGGAACTTGAACATTTACAACTTAATGCTGGACAAGCATTGACAAAGATGTGGAGAAGTTGAACTCTCATACATTGCTGTGGGGAATGTAAAATGATGTGCTCACTTTAACAAAAAGTATGGCAATACTAAAAAAAAAAAGTTAAATCCAGAGGTATCCTGCAGTTCCACTGCCAGGTATCTACTCAAGAATTAAAACTGTATGTCCACACAAAACTTGTACACAGATGTTCATAGCAGCAGCATTCATAATAGCTAAAAAGTGGAAACAACCCAAAGGTCCATAATTTGATGAATGGATATACTACAGTGGCATATCCACACGATGGAATATTATTCAGTCAAAAAAGAATGAAGTATTGATACATGCTACAACATGGATGAACCTTGAAACATGAGAAATGAAAGGAACCAAAAATTAAAGGCCATGTATTGTTTGATTCCATTTATACAAAATGTCCAGAATAGGCAAATCTATAGAGAAAGTAGGTTAGTGCTTGTCAAGGTCTGGGAGTGATGAAAATGTTGTAAAATTGGATACTGGTGATGGTTGCACAAATGAAAAACACTGAATTGTACAATTTACACATAAAGGGTAAATTTTATGATGTGTGAATTATATCTCAATAACCAAAAAAATTAATGCCTTTTATGTTAAAACAGTTGCAGCTTTGATGACAATTAAAGTCATTGTGTTACTTTTCTTTTCTTGAAAAGTGGTTTTATATTTTCTTGAATATAAAAATGAGATGCTTTTAATTAGTCAGATGATACAAGTAACTTGACCATTCAGGTAATGAGAAAATGTGATTAAATTTTTCTTAACAGTTGCCTGAAACTGTTATAAATAAACTGCCTCTTTACCAGCTAATTGGCCAATTATAGTTTTATATATGTATAAATTGGAGTTCCCAAAATCAAAACAGAGAATAAAACTCTGGATGCTAAATCTATTTGATCAAAGGTATTTTAGTTTAGATCAGTTTTCTGAAATTAATAGCCTCTTTTTCTTTAACCCATGGGGTAGGTAGGAAATATTTGGAGGTTTTTCCTCCTCAGGATGTAATTTTGAAATAGATACTAACAAAATAATGTCAATTATATGATAGAATGCAGAATTTGCATAAACTTTAAAGATGCACATGCAACTTCAGCGAACATTTTTCGGGTCATGTTTACTCTTCTATATAGTTAGGTGGGAAAGTTTGAGAAGTACTGATACTTTATAACAGCAGTAGTAAAAATGCAATAGAGAATGACACCATGGTGGATTCAACTATACAGATTCCCCATTTAAGTTTTCAAAAAAGAAAGCATAAACAGATTATATGTTACACTTTTATCCATCATCTATTTTTTCAAATAATATACTTTATTTATAAACTATTATACTAAGCTATGTGTAACAGCCAAAAACTAAGATAGCAATAATTTTTTCCTGAACTTTGGATGGTTTAAGCTATTTTATGATTTATAACCAAAACTACTTATTGAAGAGGCTGTTTACAACTTTCTGAGAGTATTGTGTGAATTTTCTTTAAAAAAAACAACTATTACTGAATATAGCATATAGTTTCTGTATATTTCTTCTATAATTTCTCAGATGGAAGGCCCATCCTGCTTAAATTTCTTAGTGTTCTGCACTACACCATCGTTGTTTTTGTGTTTTTCAGCTTGGTGTAGGAAAAGGGGTAAAGACTTTGAGCAGTTAAACTGACTCTTCCTTTCCCATCAGTGTTACCTTAAAGTAAATCACTTAAACTCATATGTTGATCTCTTTTAATCCTTCTGATAATCTTCTAAATTTTACTCCAGTTTTTACAGAGAAGACTGACTTTTAAATTAACTTGCCCAGAATGAAGTAGGATTTGAACCAAACTTTTCTGATTCCAAAGTAGTCTTTCAATTATATCATTAAGGTAGTAGGATATAATAAAGTATGCAGGCTTAAAAGGATAGACTAATCCCATATAATAAAGATGTATATGCAAATGGTCATTACACCGTGAAGCATAACGACCAACTGCGTAACCACTGGATCATGGATCGGCAGGAGGGTGGGGCAGCGAGCCACAAGCTGGCAGCAGACGAGCTATGGCGCAAGGATTTGTGCGCAGGGCTACTAGTAGAAAATAAGATTTTAGCACAAATTTCTTTTGTCACTATTTGTAAGCTGTGTACTCTTGGGAAGCATTTTAAGTCCTCTGACTCTTCAATTGCAAATGGTCATTACACCGTGAAGCATAACGACCAACTGCGTAACCACTGGATCATGGATCGGCAGGAGGGTGGGGCAGCGAGCCTGTGTACTCTTGGGAAGCATTTTAAGTCCTCTGACTCTTCAATTCCTCTGAGCTAGTTTCCTCATCTAGCTAATGAGAATAGTGATATCTCATTTCTTTCCTAAGCCTTGCTTTTACTATCACTTGCCGTGGGGGCTGTGATATTAAGAGGGATTAGCTGGAGGCAGAAAAGAAAACAGTAATAGCGAGAGTGGTAGTTGGAAAGGCGAAATGTTCTCTGACTAGACCATGAGCTCTGTTAGGACAGGGAATGTATTTTTTCCCCCTTAGCCCCTGCTTTTAACATATTACCTGGCACTTAGTAGGCTGTCAGAGGAATGATAGATTAATATTGCCTGATGGGATTGTACATTGTCTTTTATACTTGATTTGTAGATAAACTTAAAGTCAACTTGGATTCAGAACAAGAAGTGAAAGAAGAAAAAGTAGTGGAACAACCTCTACTGTCTGTCACTGAACCAAAGCTGGCAGCCCCTGCAGGTCTGAAGAAACCCAGCAAAAAAGCAGAGCCTATTAAGATGCAGCAGAAGGAGAGAAAAAGGTAGGAAAATTTTGTCACTTACGGGGAAAGTGTGTTTCTTCTGGGGTTGAGAAGGTCTGTCTGGGCTTATTGACAGCAGGCAGTTTTCAGTTGAGCACTAAATCCTACTTAATGCCGTCAGGGTACGGCTACATAACCAAAGTGAGGGGAGAAGTTCAATATCTTGTCTAGTTGTCTAGTGAAGTAGACCGAGAATCTGCATTTTAGGACATTTAAAGCCCAAAGTCTATTTTTTGGACTCCATTGACCTAAATCAATTGTTTTTTCTCCTTTATTTTGAATTTGTGGACATGGCATAAGTGTGCCTGATGGTGTGTCTGTTTTTCACTTCAAATTGCCAATGAAAGGTTACTCTTTCCAGTCAAATTTAAGAGAAAAAGTTCTTTGTTTTCTTTTTATATCAATGAGTTTATTTTTCAAGTGGTAAAATGTAATTAGAAAAGAAAATAAAAAGCACACAAGCTGTTAAAAATGGATCCAGGAATTTGAGACACTACCTCATAGTTGGTAGGAATTAGTCTGTTGAAAGAAATTCTAAAGGACACTGTCAGCACTGATAGGCCCAGAAATACTTTACTTTTGTGGCAAGGTTGGGGATACTCTGATAGAAAACATCAACAAAATGCTGAAGTTTCAGGGTCAAGGCTCTGTCCAGCTGGCCTCACCTCCTAGGAACATGTGATATGGGTGGATTAAAATGTCCCAGCATGGGTACATTTGTTTTTGATGGTTATCAACAGGCTTGCATCCAGTATTTCAGCACTAAGTATAACGTTAACTATATATTTTTAATAGGTGCCCTTTATTAGATGGAAGAAATTCTGTTCCTAGTTTCCTGGGGGGTTTTATTATGAATGGGTGTTGAATTTTGACAGATGGTTTTTCTGCATTTATTGAAATGGTCATGCATTGTGTCTGTTAATATAGTGAATTACATTGATTGGTTTTCAAATGTTAAACCAACCTTGCATTCTTGGGATAAACCCCAACTTGGTCGTGGTCTATTAGCCTTTTTACATATTGCTGGATTCTACTTAATATTGTAAGGATTTTTTGCCCCTACATTTACAAGGTCTATGGATCTTTTCTTTTCTAGTAACATTAATCATATTTTAGTATTAGTGTTATGCCGACTTATTAAAATTGGGAGGAGTTTAGTACTTCTCTGTTTTCTATTTGTATATGATATGTATTTCTCTCTTCAAAATTTGATAAAATTCACAAGTGAATCGGCCTGGAGTTTTCTTTTTGGGAAGTTTTTTTTAAGAAATTAATTTTATATCTTTAAATAGAGCTCTTCAAATTCTTTTGTTCTTTTTGAGTCAGTTAGGTTGTGTTTTTAAAGGAATTTATTTCATCTAATTTGTTGAGCTTTTTGGGTAAAGTTGTCCATAATATATCCTTATTCTTTGAGTATCTGTAGTTACCACTGCAGATTCTTTCATTCTTTATATTTTTTGTCTTTTTTATCAGTCTTATAAAAGGCTTTTTAATTTTTTAAATCTTTCCCCCCAAAAGTAATGCCTTTTAGCTGTGTTAATTTTCTTTACTTCATTGATTTCTGCTCTTATGTTTATTATTTCCTTCTATTTATTTTGGGTTTAATTTGTCTCTTCATACCTTAAGATAGAAAAATAAGTTGATACTTAAAGTTATATAAGAAATAAAATACTTGTAGATATAAATTATGTCTCTAACATACAGTGGGCCCTTTAATGAACGAGTAATGTGATGGAGTATCCAGGGGAGCGAAATAATGTCAGGATGGGATGGAGTATAGTTTTTTATTACGTCATTAGAAACACCTTGAGGTCTAATGCTTTTGCTCATATTGTTTTTTTCTCTATAAAATATGTACCCCTTTTTCTATCTGATGAACTTATACTTAGCTTTTAAAGTTTTCAAGTAAGACTCATGTCCCATAACATTTGTCCGGTAAAATGATCACATTGTATTACAGTAGTGCTTATACCTGTTTTTCCAGTTAAAGCTCCTTGAGAACAGTATTTTCTTGATCCTTACATCCTCATTGTTTAGCAAAGAGCCTCATATATGTAGTTAGTAGCTGCTTATTGAATGCTTGTTTAATTAAAAGGCCAATAGGGGCAGTAAGAATTTAGGAACATGCCCAATAATCTGGTAGTAGTTTCCAGTGGTCTAGAGAGAGCTAGAGAAAATTTTTATTCTGGTCATCCCATGAAGTAATTTAGTTCTGGTCAGTTAGCCTTAAAAAGAATTCTTATTGATTTTTCTGTCCTCTGGAATTAAGACCATGAGTTATGATGCAAGACCCATAGTAGCATATGAATACTTATAATTTTATTTTGTGTAACATGTTTCAATTTTTCCTGGATGGCCACAGGGGGAAGCGAGTGGAGTTCTCTGATGATGAGACAAAAGAAACTGTAAACATGAAGAAAAAGAGGAGAAGACTTAAACTTCCTGAGTCTGATAGCAGTGAGGATGAAGGTGGGTATTGCTATTAATTTTTGGCTAGTAGGATTGTCTGTCAGTTCAGACTGTTATAACAAAAATACCATAGGCTGGGTGGCTTACACAACAGAAATTTATTCCTCACAGTTTTGTGGGCTGAGAAGTCCAAAATGAGGATACTGGCTGGTTCAGTTCCTAATGAGAGAGCTCTTCCTGGTTAGCAGAGGAACATCTTTTTCGCTCTGTCCTTGCATGGCAGGAAGAGAAATCCTCTTATGTCGCTAGTAAAGGCACCAATCTCATTCATTAGGCACCATTCTCTTGATTCAGTTACTTCCCAAAATCCCCACTTCCAGGGACCATCACATTAGGGACTGGGGCTTCAACATAGGAATTTTGGGGAAACATAAACATTTAGTCCACAGCAGGGGTCAATTCTTACTATGATGCCCAGAGCTAAAAAGTAATTTAGTATGGGTCACAACTACTCTAGTAATCCTAGCATTCAGACACATATAGCACCTATTTCTGTTTAAAATCTACTTTACTTTAGCCTTTTGACCAGAACTATCATTTTCTTGTAATTTGCCAAAATAACAATACAAAGAAAAAGAAAATGATTATTAACATATATATCATCAAAAACCTTTTTATTTATTTTTAAATTTAAATTTTATTTTTCAATTGCAGTTTGTATTCAGTATTATTCTGTATTAGTTTTAGGTGTGCAGCATACTGGTTAGATTATAATATACTTTACAAAGTGGTCCCCAATATTTCAAGTACCCACTTGGAATTGTACATAGTTATTACAATAATGCTTTGTTCCCTGTGCTGTACTTTATATCCACAGGACATTTTCTAACTACCTTCACCTTTTTCACCCAGCCCCACAAACATCACTGCTACCACCACCTGGCACTGTCTCCCCATCTGTTTGTTTTCTGTATCTGTCTTTTTCTATTTTGTTTGTTTGTTTATTTTGCCCTTTAGATTCCACACATAAGTGAAATCATATGGTACTTGTCTTTCTCTGTCTGACTTATTACACTTAGCATAATACCTTCCAAGTCCACCCATGCTGTTGCAAATGGTAGGATTTCATTCTTTTTTATGGCCAAATAATACTCCATTGTATATATGTACCACCACTTTTTTTTATCTACTCATCTGTTAACGAGCACATATCTTGGCTATCTTCTATGTATATAAAAGGCTAATATGCTAAGTGTCCGTCTGGGTAATAACGTCACAAAGCAATGTCCAGGCTTCCTCTCCCTAGTGATGACTAGCCACCTTGCAGTTTCTTCAGCCCAGGAACACGACTTGCCTTATAGA